TTAACTACAAAAGCCTAGTGATCATTAATAACTCCTGGGAGTAACAGATGACCATTCGCTAATTAATCGAGTTTAGGTAACTCAAGCGCCACTTAGAGAATCATTGCTCTTTAAAGGGGTAAATGCAATGACTGTCACCTGGGAAATTTCTAATTTGTCACTCATCTGGGGAGACCAAAATGATACAATCTTAGTAGTAAATTTCTCCCTAAAGTTTCTGAGGGTGAACAATTTCCAGCCTCCTCAGACAAAGGTAAGATGAGTCAGCTGGCATTACTGTCAACCAGTACAAAATGCAGGCCACCTTTGTGTCTGCAACTAACAGACTCTGTTAAACATCAGAAGTAGGACAGTGGTTTGTGAAGTCAAAACAAGGAAGGTGCCCACTGGGCAAGACACTGCACAGCACTGCCCTTGCAGGGAAATAGTACAGAGAATGAGCTGAATGGGAAGACGTCAACGCTAAACAGTGCATGCAACCCACATACTCACTGTTTTCCCATTATATTAAAACATGCTCTTCGTTTTCAAAGACATCAGAAAGTAAAAGGTGTCTCACACCTTCCAATCACATTTCCCAGAAATGTCTGTCAACAGGAAGTACATACCCTTCTCAGAATTTCTCCCATGTATAGATAAATATGCATATGCACGATATGGCTCCATCTTGCGTCTACAAAAATGGGCCAATTCTAGATAAACAGTACTACAACTTATCTTTTCCAATTGATGGTGGACACCATTCCATACTGGTATGTATAAATCTATCTCATGGTTTGTATTTAGTTTTTAATCTTAAATTAATTTCACCTGTACAAAGCAAGAGTGTAAAAAACACAGAGAAGTTCCATTTAGCCTTGCAACTTCTCAATTCTGACATCTTATATACAGTACAATTATTTAGTTGTGTCAGGAAATTAACTTTAGTGCAATACTATTGCCTAATCTAGCAATTTAGTATACTATTGCTTTGTTGCCTTATCTAGAGATGGTATTCAAATTTCATCAATAACACTTTTTTCTGATGCAGAATGCCGCCCGCAGTCATGTGTTGCATATACATTTGGCATGTCCCTTTGTCTCTTTTCAGCTGGACTCACACTCAGTCTTTGTTTGTCTTTTTTTTTTTTTTTTTTTTTTTTTTCTTTTTTTGAGATGGAGTCTTGCTCTGTAGCCCAGGCTAGAGTACAGTGGTGTGATCTCAGTTCACCGCAACCTCCACCTCCCGGGTCCCAGGTCGAACAATTCTCCTACCTCAGCCTCCCAAGTGAATTAATCACTCAGGTTTCACCCTCAGAAACATAAAGATCTGTCATCAGAGGGACAGAAGGACTGTTCTGACCAGTGCCTGGTCAGGAACGTGAGTTTGGTCTAGCAGGATTGTGCCAGGGAGCTGCCATGGTCTGAATGTTAGTGTCTCCCCAAAACGCGTAGTTGAAATCCTAACACTCAAGGAAATGGTATTTGGAGGTGGGGCTTTGGGAGGCAATCAGATCATGAGTGTGGAATCCTCATGAATGGGATTAGTGCCCTGATAAAAGAGACCCCAGAAAGCTCTCTCGCCCCGTCCTCCATGTAAGGACACAGTAAGAAGACGCTGAACCGGGAAGCCGGTCCTCACCAGACACCAAATCTGTCAGCACATTGATCTTGGACTTTCTGGTTTTGAGAAGTTGAGAAATAAATTTTCGTTGTTTGTAAACCACCCAGTTTTGGTATTTTGTTACAGCAGCCCAGATGGACGAAGACAGGAATGAAGGGGAAAATCATGGACAGAGAATCACTTTTGTTCACAAACCTTTCACACTGTGAGTGGCTCGAGGTGAGGGGGAAACAGAGTCCTGATCTGCTGGGGGCCAATGGCGAGTCTGAAAGCGTCACAGGAAGGGTGTTAGCCTCAGCCTTCTGGGGCCCTTGAGCAGCCGGGCACCAGTGCAGAGGAAACCCCCCAAGAAGCATTCAGCCCACATTTCCCCCCAGCTAGCCTCACTTCCCCCCTCAGCACTGCCCTGGTTTATTTTGACAAGGTTGTTTCCACCCGGCACGGTCACACACCCTTGCAGACACCAGGGAGCCCTGCCCACTCTGGGAACCACTGTTCTCTGTGGAAAACCCAAAGCATCACCTTTACGCACAGCAGGCTGGGAAATGGGGCAGCTGGCGAGCCCCTCAGGAGCAGTCATGGCTGTGGGCAAGCAACAAAATGAGGTGCAGACAGCAGGCAGGGCTTCCTGGCACAGACCTGCAGGTGGGCAGTGGCGGGGGGGGGGGGGGTCCGCAGCAATGCCCTGTGCTGCCAGGTGAGGAGCTTGGAAACCTGCTTCAAGCTGAACTGGGCAAAGGAGGCAAGGGTAGGAAATACAGAAATATGCCTCGCAAGAGAAGAAGAAACATACCAGACGTTTTAACAGGGAGAATTTCAGATAAAAAACAAACCACGTAGTGAAAATGGAAAAGGTGCAAACAGGACAATGTGGTCTGGGAGAAGCAGCAGCTGCATAAAGCAAGTACACCCCTGGCCAGCACTTTGGGAAGCCAAGGCGGGCACATCAAAAGGTCAGGAGTTTGAGACCAGCCTGGCCAACATAGTGAAACCTGTCTCTACTAAAAATACAAAAAATTAGCTGGGTGTGGTGATGGGCACCTGTAATCCCATCTACTCAGGAGGCTGAGGCAGGAGAATCGCTTGAACCTGGGAGGCGGAGGTTGCAGTGAGCTGAGATTGCACCACTGCACCCCGGCCTGGGCAACAGTGCAAGACTATCTCAAAAAAAGAGAAAAAAAAAAAAGCAAGTCCACCCCTTTGGGGATGGGATCTGGGGGTGGAATCATCAGAATTAAGAAGCCTGGAAGAGCATGCAGAGCTCCAGGCTGGGCTGGCATCTCTGGCAGTAGCACAATGCAGCTGGTTCCAGGTATGGGAATAAACAACAAAACCCTATGCACTAAAATCAACTACTGCTATTGGGACAAAGTGCTGCTGCCAGGAAAGTACAGCTACAGTGACACTGTCAGACACAGAAGGCAAATGGGAAGGGGCAAGGCCCTCCGCCCTCCGCACCTGTCAGTTTTCCTTTGAACAATCAGGTCTGGCCACTCTGGGCCTGCAGAATTTCAGGGCCATGATCAGCAGGCACAGACTGGCCATTGCCCCCTTGATCCTGGGCATACACAAGAATGAGAGTCAAAATATTTCTCAACAGCTAACTTGCCATGCACAAACCCTGGGCAACCAGTGAGGTGCCTGAGCACTCAAGGCAGGTGCTGGCCTGAGCCTGGGGCCAGGCCCGTACGTTCCATGAGGTCTCCTAGCTCCCGATCACATCTGGTGCTTCCAGTTCTGCTTCAAGCCCTCCTGACTGCCCAAGAGGCCCACATCACTGATTTTTATTGCCTGCCTGGCCTCTGTAGACAACTGAGTTTGCAATACCTGGCTGAAAAAGATGCCAGGCGGGAGATTCTATGTGATATGTCTTTCATCCCCATTCTGTGTGCCTCGGGTCCCAGGAAGGCAGGGACATCCCTGACAGGACTAGCCCAGGAGTTCTAGGAGCAGTGTGCAGAGGAAGAGGTTGTACGGGGTGGGAGAGGCATGGGAGGAGATCGGCACCAGGAAAGGCTGTCAGTAAGAGGACAGGAGCAGGACAGGACAGTCCAGAAACCAGCAAGGTCACAGGAAGCCCAGGGAGGGACATGTTCAAAGACCTGTGAGCATAACACGGTGTTCTGGTTTGCAAACATCTGGGCAGTACACATTTCCAAGTCTCTTTCTACAGGCATCTGACTCGCCTTGATTTTGTTGAATGAGGCCTCATTGACCATAGGGAAAAGTCCAATGTTCTCAGCCCGCTGCTTTTGCCGCATGTGAACTTTCCAACATCTCCATTCATTACCTTCTTTTGCCAATCAATGTGGACCAAAAAAAAAGGTCTGTTAAAAGTGGATGGAGGCTGGCAGCAAGAGGCTCATGCCTATAATCCCAGCACTTTGGGAGACCGAAGTGAGTGGGTCACCTGAGGTCAGGAGGTTGAGACTAGCCTGGCCAACATGATGAAACCTCACTTCTACTAAAAATACAAAAATTAGCTGGTCATGGTGGTATGCACCTATAATCCCAGCGACCTGGGAGGCTGAGGCAGGAGAATCACTTGAACCTGGGAGATGGAGATTGCAGTGAGCTGAGATCATGCCACTGAACTCCAGCCTGGGCAACAGAGTGAGACTCTGTCTCAAAAAAAAAAAAAAAAAATAGTGGGTGGAACGTGGTAATGAATGAGAGTTGGAAACAGCAGTATGAACTCATATTTAGCTTAACATAGGTAAGATGGCCGGGCACGGTGGCTCAAGCCTGTAATCCCAGCACTTTGGGAGGCCAAGGCGGGTGGATCACGAGGTCGAGAGATCAAGACCATCCTGGTCAACATGGTGAAACCCCATCTCTACTAAAAATACAAAAAAAAAATTAGCTGGGCATGGTGGCTCGTGCCTGTAATCCCAGCTACTCAGGAGGCTGAGGCAGGAGAATTGCCTGAACCCGGGAGGCGGAGGTTGCGGTGAGCCGAGATCGCGCCATTGTACTCCAGCCTGGGTAACAAGAGCGAAACTCCATCTCAAAAAAAAAAAAAAAAAAATAGGTAAGATGGATACCTGTAGAAATACTTACACATACATGCATGCACACAGGTTCGTATATACAGATATTTATTTTTTATTTATTTGTTTTTGAGGTAGAGTCTCGCTCTGTCGCCAGGCACCAGCCAGGCTGGAGTGCAATGGTGCGATCTCGGCTCACTGCAACCTCCACTTCCCTAGTTCAAGCAATTCTCCTGCCTCAGCCTACCAAGTAGCTGGGACCACAGGCATGTACCACCATGCCCAGCTAATTTCTGTATTTTTTAGTAGAGACAGTGTTTAACCATGTTAGCCAGGATGGCCTCTCCCAAAGTGCTGGATTACAGATCTGAGCCACTGTGCTCGGCCTATTTTTTTTTCATTTTTTACAGGGGAAAGTGTGAACACAGTCCTTCACTGCTACAAATTATGCAGTCGAGTTTCCCACACTTGGGGAAACTGCAGGGGTCAGCACATCCAGAGTGCAATGGATAAGCCTCGCTCTGAGGAAACCACCTTCGTGATCACAGATTCTCCCCTGCCAGGTCAGTATTTATATATTTATTTAAAACAAATGCTTTTGATCCTCCCCATCCCCCCTACACACTTATATTTCACTGCTCTATCAGTTGAGAAGATCTGGAGGAAACAATACCCCAAGCACATCTAGCACCCAGATCTTGGATCTTTTCTTCAATAAAATGACTGGGGCTCCTTGGAGAAATGACTGATTCTATAACAGGGGCTGGAAATATACAAGATGAGCCCTAAGCATCTTAAAGTGTGAGAAAGTATGGATGTACCAAAAAGATAAAGAGAGAGAAGGAAGGAAGGAAGGAAGGAGGGAGGGAGGGAGGAAGGGAGGGAGGGAGGGAGGGAGGGAAGGAAGGAAGAAAGGAAAGAAGGAAGGGAGGAAGGGAGGGAGGAAAAGAAAAAGGAAGAAAGAAGAGAGATAGAGGGAAGGGGAAGTGAGGGAGGGACGGAGGGAGAAAGAGAAAGAAAGAAAGAGAAAGAGGAAGAAAGAAAGAAGAGATATAGAAGGAAGGGGAAGGGAGGGAGGGAAACACCCATAATGAAGAAGTATGTCAAATGGACACAGGAAGTAACTGACATGTTCCTAATAGCCAAGGAAGAAAAATCATGAGCAACAAAATAAAGTCATACTGGATCATAACCCAAAGAAATTAAAACTTATAAAATAAAGACCTGCAAGTCCGTACTGATACATAAATAAATAAATAGGAGAGAGGCATTAAACCTCCCAGGCAGAAAAAGCCTGAAGAGTTCACATAGATCCTCTAGCCATGGAGAAGGAAGAGCCGGAATCCCCTCTCCTTAGGGGAAGGCTACGCACAGTGACTTTCTTCTAAAGAGTCTAATATCAAAAGGGAGTTAAGAAAGAACAAAGAAACACAAGTATTGTTAAGGTGGACAAACCTGACAAGCATTGCTGCAGCCAGGTAGTCAGAGTCACCATCAGGGACAGGTCATGCTGATGGTGCCTACCCTTCATTTGATAAAAGCAGAACTTCACCTCTGGTGGTCTTCCTCCATAGTCCCAATCTAGCGATAAGAAGAAGAATCAGACAACCCTGACAGAGGTGCGTTCTACAAAATATCTGACCAGTCAAAACTGGTCAACAAAACGCAGAACTATCAAGGTCATCAAAAACCATGAGAGTCTGAGAAAGCGACACAGCGCATGAGGGTCTAAGGAGACATGATCACTTAAGGTGATGTGGGGTCCCAGATGGGATCCTGAAATAAAAGAAGGACATTCGGTAAGAACTAAAATAATGTTTGAACGTCTATAAATAATATGTATCCGTATTGGTCCATGAATTGTGGCAAATGTGCCACACTAATGCAAAGTGTTAGCAAAGGGGAAACTGGGACCAGGTATATGGGACTTTTTTGGGCCATTTTCACAATTCTCTGTAAATCTAAAACTCTTCTGAAAATAGAGATTATTCTTTAAAAGTGTCTGGAGGATGTGCACAAGCATATGGAAGCAGAAGGGCTACAGGTAAAAAATCGTGACACCTGGAAAATCTTCCATTTTTGCTCCCCGCGGTGACTGTCTTACACAGCTCCCATTAAACTCTGAACACTGTCATCAGCCTGGAAACTGAATTGGCATAAATGTGTAATGTCGAAGCTGCGATGGACTGTGGTGGCCATCCAGCTCCCTGCTTTCAACTGCACTTGAGGAAAATCGGATCCAAAGACCAGAAGCAAATGAGTAATGAATGTTTCAGTTCAGCGCCCAGGGGTAGAGCTAAAATCCCCAGGGTCCTGGAAGGGTGACAGACAGCAACGTCATAATATAATGTAAAGTGCTTGGAACATCATGAATAAGACACCTGAGCTATTACTATTTTTACCATGATTACTGGTAGATTACAAGGAGTCAGCCAGTTCTCAGAACAGCCCACTCTGCGGAGGGAACCGAGACTCACTAGGGCCAAGAGCCTTCTTCCCAGCCACAGGGCTGGCAAGCAGCAAAGCAGAGAGCCAGGCTCAGGTCTCCTTTCCAGCTTCGCAGAAGTGCGACCTCCCTACCACCACTAACCCTCACACCCTCAACCCCGTCCCCGTGGCCAGTCACTGTCCCATCTCCTCCCACAGCAGCAGGGGGTGGGGCTGAAGACTCAGATAAGACACAACTCAGGAAGGATGGCACTTAGATTGGTTTCTCTTTTCTTTTCTTGATTCTGTCCTTATGAAACTTTTCTTTAACCCAACATTGTTTAAGGTCCTGAGCTGATTCCGTGTGAGCTTGAAGCCAGGGTTCCCATGCTCTGCAAAAGCAAAAAGATGCTCAGATGTGTCCTTGAGGCTCAGTGTTGTCATGCAGTGCATGGACAGGCCACGGTCCTAATTTCAAGGTTTTATTTTTGGAGGAAAAAAAAAAAAAATCCACAGGATTCAGGATGCCCCCTATCCTACAATGAGTATGCTCCCATTGCAACCAGCTCTGGGAGGGTGAAAAACTAAAACGGAAGCAGTTCCAAACAGAAGGACACAAATTACCAGCAGAGCCATTATTACTCACAGCAACTCAGGCCGAGGGTTCATGCAGCGCAGGGTTTCTGAAACCCAGACTCTACCTGGGAAGGAGGGAGAGAAAGAGACCGGGATGCTGGGGCGGGAGGGGGGTGGGTGGTTTCTGTTATTTACTTCATTACAAATCAAGAAGAAACCCTGCAGGATCAGGAGCTTTTCCTAGCTCCTCAAATAAACCTGGATCCCAAGAGGAACAGAAAGGGGAAGGGTGAGGGCGGGAGAGGAATCGGAGTGCAAGCTCAGAGGTCCTTGAGGGAGGGAAGAGGAGGTGTCTGCTTTCCGGAAACGGTGATAAGAGGCATGTGGGGATGCAGATGCCCAAATGCGTAGCACTTATACCAATTTAGCAAATGGCCCTCTCATTAGTAAAAGCTTCTAAACATTAGCCTTAAGTTTAAAAAAAATTTTTTTGAAATTATGCAAAAGCCCAGAGCACCAGTATGTGCTTCATACACATTCCGTGGGAAGGTTCCTTCATTTGCAAACTTGTATATTACATAATCATCTCCATTTCCTCACAGGTTGTGAAGAGTAAATGAGATAATATAATGTAAAGTGCTTGGAACATCATGAATAAGACACCTGAGCTATTACTATTTTTACCTTGATTACTGGTAGATTACAAGGAGTCTCTTCATAGTCATCATGATTGCTACCAGTACTAACACGACTATCACCACAAACACTATTACTACTGTAAGGACAGTACTTTATTAGCGGTGCTTAATAGTATCTATCATCATTCTCAACACTTAGCATATTTCAGGAGGAAAACTGATGAAGGGATATGACGCACAACAAGGAAATGAACAAAGAAACGGATACATTCCTATAATGTGGTGAGTGTATCTTAAAAGGAAAGAGGTCGAATAGCTTGCAAAGAGGAAAACCAGGAGTCAAGAGCTGTCTCTAGTGCCAGGAGCTGGATGCTGTGAACCCAGGAGTGTTTATTAACTCCCTAACTGATGTCTGAGCAAGGAAGAGACAAAGAATGACAACAATCAGTTGGGTTCAGCTTAGACAAACCCTCAAAGCCAGGACACAGACAGAACAGGACAAGAGTGATACTTACAGTCACTTGATTCTGGGTCCTTGTTTTAAAGATGAGGCTGTGAAGGATCAAAGGGGTCAGCTGGTCTCAACACTCAAAGGGCAGCTTTGGGCCAAGGCAATCGAACCAGCCTGGTGGGCGGAGCTGCACGCTACCCAGTAAATACAGGTGTTTGGATAGACTGTGTCTCTGCAGGGCGATGGTTAATTTTATGTGTCAACTTAACAGGGCCACAGGGTGCCCAGAGAGCTGGCTAAACAGCATTTCTGAGTGTGTCCAGATGAGACTATCATTTGAACCAGGAGCCTGAGGGAGTAAAGCAGATCGTCCTTTCCATGCGGAGTGGGCCTCATTCAGCCCACTGAGGGCCTGAATAGAACCTAAAGGTACAGGAAGGTTGAATTTCATCTCTGCCTGATCGCTTGTGCTGGGACATCAATCTTCTCCTGCCCTTGACATTCCTGGTTCTCAGGCCTTCAGACCCAGACTGGAATCTACGCTACGGGTTCTCCAGACCTCTGCCCTTCCTGCGACAAGAGCAGCTGTCCTAGTCTCCAGCATGCAGGTGGCAAATCACAGGACCTCTCAGCTCCATAATTACATAAGTCAATATCTTATCATAAATAAATCTCCTACATATAGACATAAACATCAAGGTAGATACCGATATAGACAAAAATATGCATCTATCTTCATCTTCTATTGGTCCTGTTTCTCTGGAAAACCCTGACTAATATATCAGTATATTTTAAAAACTTTAAAGAAGGACAGAGATCTTTCTTATCCACTCTGTTGGCTCCTCAGAGCCTATCTCAGCAGCTGACTCATAGCAGGAAAGTGGACAAGGGTGGAGAGGAGAGAGGGGAGTGGCTACCTCCTGCCAGTCACCACACAGGGTGTCAGGGAGGTAGGTTCAGTGAGACCCAAGGCTCTGCACCCAGGGAAAGCTGAACAAACCGTGTCCCCAGGTGAGATCCCCAAACACTGCTCCCTATCATCAGATCCCTTCCTACAAAAGGCACTGTAGAGAGAAAGATCCGCATCTTCCGAAGAAACAAAGCTGAAAGAGGGGGCCAGGAGTGGGCAGAGAACAACGGTGGAGAAGGAGAGTCGAATGGAGAATGGGTGAGGAGCAGCGCGAGAGTACGGTGGACGTGCTGGGAGAACAGGTGGACAAGGGGCAGGTTTAAGGGATTCTGACTTGAGAGCCACCATCCACAAACACGGAGGATCTCAAGCAATGCAATTGCTCCCAGCCTCAAGTCCCTGCATCTGTGAAATTCTGGGATCCATGAAGCTGGCTTCGCTCCCTGGGATTTCCTTCAGAGAAAGCACAGTGGCTTTGTTCCTTTATTTCGGGCACCCTGCACAGCTGCACACTGCAGATTCTCCTTCGATATTAGTGCAATAAAAGAAAGGAGAAAGGATGAGAAATC